CCATAAATGTGCCTCATGGGATGACATTAGTGACACTTTTTTTTTTTTTCTTTCTTCTCCGTGCCTTGACTAAATAACATTCCCATGATAGTGGATGGTGAGGAAGTCAGGCTGAAGCTGTGGAGAAACTGAAAGGGTTAAAGACAAATCCATGCCTCCTCCACTGGTTTAATTCCTCAGCAGCCTGATCCTGTGTTGAGATGATTCCGGACAGAGAGAGAGAGAGAGACTGACACAGTCCCCAAGGGAGACCCCAGAGAAAAGACTCTGATTTCCTGTTCAGGAGGATTAAGTACAAGGCCATTGACAAATCACAGTAAACATCTGGATGGGAGCGCTCCATCTATCAAGGCCTAATCCATGAAGTTATTCATTAATGAATTCAGCAAATTCACACTGTTCTATATATAGGGTCGGCTGATCTTTTTTAGCGTTTGGCTTGGAGATGTTTTACATCTGAATCAACAGTTTTATTTATTGTATAAAGCAATCCACCGTATCCTGCTTTTGCTTAATTGAGTGGTTAGAGCAATTCTTTTGCCTTTTCTAAAAAACACACACTGCCATATTTTCTAATAGCGTATATACATATATGTATATAGTAAATTCAATACTTAAAACCGAGCCGTGCTCCTGCATTTTATATAGTTTTGCAATTTTAAGTCCCAGGTTCCTCTGGAAACTTTCCATCACACTCTGACGAAAAAACATTAAATAGTAATTGATTTTCTTTTCTGCATTTTGTTTTGATTAAAATGAGAATCCCTCTCATTTATCTTCATAGAGAAAGTAAGCATTGAGTAAATGGACTTGTTAATTCAAAAGTAATTTGATCAGAACATCCATAATTTACATTGACTTGAACAGCAGGAAAGATGCTGAGCACTACCAGATATCAAGCTTATTCATTTAAACAGACTACTTGCATTATACTTTACATCTTGTGAATGTAAACTACTCTAAGAACATATAACGACATATAAGAGGGAGACTTGCACACAACTGTGCCCTTAAAAGTTATCTGTTAAGCTTGAACAACACCAGTCTGCTCACAAAACAACCAGGCTTGTAGCTGAGTGCATTGTTTTTCACACAGCTGTGCCACCTTGTTTCCAGTGAAATCTGCAGGCTTTGTCATTGATATTGGTGGAATCAGCATTTGGCCCAGAGGTTTTTCTAAATCCAGCTGCAACAGGATATTTTCAATTAATGCTCAAAGCTTTGGACTCTGCCAGACAGCATGAATCATCCAAATTTGCAATTTATAATTTCTAGCCCTTTTGACTTACAGTGCATTACTGTGATGTAATCTTTAACTCCAGTGCCTTGATCTTAAAGGGGAAATCTCATTCTGTGCCTTTATTATCTTCTAAATTCCAGGAGCATGCACCTCTACTCTCAGGTTTTTGCTCTTGTCACAACAGGATGCCCTAAGAGGGCAGTACCAACTGTGATATCCCAATTTAAAAGAGAAGAATGAAGGCAAGAGAGTGCAATTTGTAAGAGCAAAGAATCAAGACCTGCAAAGCCACTCAGTTATACCTCTGCAACTTTATCATCTTCACTGCTAGTGCAAATGCTCTCACAAGTGAATTTCGTTTGCATCAATGCTTTTGTAATGGCTGTGCTCCATACCAATATCTATTCAGGTATGCAAAGCATGGTGTTTCTGGGCAAAGTTGATCTCTCCTTATCACCCAGCTTAAAATACTTAATTTTCATCCTATGGCCATTGCAGTCAGGCTGACATAAAGTTCTTACAATTTCAAAAGTGCTAGACGACCAGGCCACTCACTCAGGCTGCAAGGAAGAGGGACGGGAACAGATAGAGCAAAGAAAGGTTGTATGTGTAGGACAAATAGTTACAATGGCATGTGATTTAGGTGATCAGTCATTTACTACAAGTAGTCAGGTGGCAAATTCATATTTTTGTATTTTGTTACCAGTTATGTGGCTAGTCACAGTCCAGAATCCACTACAGTAAGCTTTGTCTTATACAAGCACAAATTAAGCCGCACAGGCTGCTTAAAAAAAGCTAAATGACATGTTTACAAATTAATATATTTTTTAAAAGAGTGGATTTGCAAAAACATTGAGTAATCTCATCTAAATTTCCTGCTTATTTCTAATTTTTAAGCAGTCATGAATTATGAATGAATCGAGGAAAATCAAAATACACTCTGGTTTAAAATTATTAGTGAAGTCCTTGAGACTATTAACTACAATCTGAAAAAGCTTACGTGAGGGGAAACTCAGGTTGAGACCTACTCATGATACCCTCACAGGGTAGGAAAAAGAGCTAAATGAATTAGATTTCTTTGTAAGCACAGATAATCTAGCCAGTTGCAGGAAGGTGTGCTCTACCATGAAACTAGGGGGCCAAACGCACTGATGGTTTAAGCAGGATAGGGCCATAAGTGAATCTGGACAGGAGTGATGAAACACCTTTACTTGCACTACGTCTTCAATGCTGGAGAGGCTTCTGGGGATACCCTCAACATAAAAAAAACGTGATAGATACAAAGCAGATTTTTTTTCCCCGCCTTACCAAACAAAGGGAACAATAGAGGACTCACCCAAAGCTTTATTATTTAAAGCTTTAACAAAAGTAGCATTCTAGTATGCAAAAGCAATACAATTTCTATAGTAAGCAGCATGGAGAAATATTTGGCTTGAAGAAAACCAGCTAGCACATAGATGTAAAATAAACCCTGCTTTGCTTTTCATACTCAGCAGTGAAAATCAGAATAAAGATTATTCAAATCAGTAGAATGACATTTATGATCTAACATTGTCGCAATGTAAATGAATCCTTTGTCTATCACAGAACGGTTTGGGTGGAAGGGACCTTAAAGATCATCTAGTTCCAACTCCTCTGCCATCAGCAGGGTATTCTTCCAGTAGATCAGATTGCTCAAAGCCTCATCCAACCTGGCCTGGAACACTTCCAGGGAGGGGGCTAGAAGGGTTCCACAACTTCTCTGGGAAACCCATTCCAGTGTTTCACCACCCTCACAGTAAAGAATTTCTTCCTAATATCTAATCTAACCCTCCCCTCTTCCAGTTTAAAGCCATTACCCTGTGTTCTATCACTACCTGCCCTTACCTGACTGTAAAAAGTCACTCCCCAGATTTCCTGTAGGCCCCTTCAGGTACTGGAAGTCCACCATAAGGTCTCCCCAGAGCCTTCTCTTCTCCAGGCTGAAGAGCCTCAGCTCTCAGCCTGTCCTCATAGGAGAGGTGCTCCAAGCCCTCTGAACATCCTTGTGGTCTCCTCTGGACTCACTCCAGTAGGTCCATGTCCTTCTTATGTTGGGGGCCCCAGAACTGGACACAGTACTGCAGGTGGGGTCTCACCAGAGTTGAGGGGCAGAATCCCCTCCCTCGACCTGCTGGCCACTCTTCTTTTGATGCAGCCCAGGATACGGTTGACCTTCTGGGCTGCGAGTGCACATTGCTGGCTCATGTTGAGCTTCTCGTCCACCAGCACCCCCAAAATCCTACTCCTCAGGGCTGCTCTCGATCCATTCTCTGCCCCGCCTGTGCTTGGAGCATAGCCTGTGCCCCAAGCTTGAGCTTGACACAGCCTGTACGTGTGTGAAGGGGAGGAGGGCAAGGAATGGAATATTATTTTATCTTATAGATGTGCATGTAGTAGCTAAAGGAAAGGTTTGGCATATGAACACAGACTGGTGATGAACAAGTTGCATTTATTTTGCATAGCCACTAAACTCCAGATTGGTGTAGAGAGTACAGGTTTTTTTTGTGTACATCCATTTGCCAGGTTCAGGCTACCATCTGATCCTCTGGACATTCCCAGAGGAGTTAAACTTCTTCACATTTGAGGTGAATTTGGCTTGGCAATGGCAATGCACCATGTTACTAATTCTAATCCTCTCCTACAAGAGTTTTGTGTTTCAACTGTGAAAAAAATCACTACTCTATAATACTTGTTTTAATCAAAAAAGCAGAATGCAATAAATACCACTTTGTAGTTTAAAATCTGAATTTAGGATTTTCCAAGCACTACCAGTTCAAAACTTTGACAGTATTTAACTTCTTGCAGATGAATGTAAGTGCCAAATTGTAGCTGTAATCAATTTAGGAGCAAAAAAGAAGCCAATAAGTCAATGGCGCCATGCAGCTTTGCACTAGCCAATGAATTGACTTTACACATTTTGTATTAATACTTGTACAATTAGGTAATGGGGGTTGCTTATGGTAGTGTAAATCTTTTTATCTTTGATGAGAAGCAAAATTTTAAAATAATAATAATACCAAATTGGAGGGGGAAAGTTATTAATAGGGAACTTTAATTTATTCTTTCTATATGGCATCTGTAAGGAGCAATGCTGAGCAGTCTTTATGCTTGAAAGGTTCTCTGTTGTTATGACAGCAACCAAAGGCAAATAAACCTTTGGCAAATAAGCATTCCAGAAAAAGGTATGTGATGATTCTTACTGCATTAGTTTCCTACTTAATATGAAAGTGCTAATAAGTCCTTCTTTATATTCAGCGGTACCTGTCTGGTTGGACAACATAATGTCCAGTTTCCATCATGCTTATGCTAATATAAAGTTAAAGCACCTTACCTGATCTAGAACAGCAAGCTGATATAGATTTATGAATGCTAAGAAACCCTGTATAGCCTGTGAAATGAGCTGAGGAGTCATGGTTGGATGTTAGACCTTGCGAACTGAGTTAACAGATGGAAGGGAAGGAGAAGATCTTCTGGTGCTAATTTCAAAGACTTCTATGTTGATGACTACTTGGCTTGACTTTGCATCACAATCAATTAAGTTTGTCCCTCAATACCTTAATCCCTGAGTTTATGTCATTCCTTTTTGCTTCCTAACTTGACATATTTGAAGGCAACCATGAGTCTGCACACAATAGCCTTACACACCTCCCCCCCAAACACATTTTCTTCATGCAGTCACATTAGAAGCAGCAGAGAATGTGCAAGGACATCAGACTGTGCTCACTCTCCTCTTTGATTTTCAAGTTAGCTTGTCCTGCTTTCCTCTAGTGTAGGTCTGATAGCAGAAGTGTAGGAAGAGAGCAATGAGGCTGAGAATGTAGAGGAAAACTGCAGTGTTGAAGACATCAGGGAACAGGCATTCTGTGAAGAGGCTGTAGGAAGAATGACCAGCATTGGCTACAAACTGGCACTGGAAGAGGGAGAAAACAGAAGCAGCCAGATTAAGGATCCTACATGAGACGTACCCCAGCTGACTGTTTGGTCTATCATAAAGAGTATCACAACATACTAGCAGTGTCCTCAGCCCAGAGTACCACCTGCTTGCCTCCTGACATCCCCAAAAAACTTGTCTTTCAAGCCTGACAGTGTTTTCCCAACATAAAAGGGTGTCATGTGTCCACCAAAAATTGCGGTTTGCCCACGGCTGTAAGGAGCAGGTTTGGAATCCAGCCTCTCCCACTGCCCTTGTGTCACTTCTCTGCCACCAGCCAGTAACTGAGATCTTGGAATATGGAAACTAAAGGTGGGAGAATCCTTCTCTTCCCCAGTGGCAATCAGATTATTGTACCCATAATGATTTTGATTTGTATTTTAGCTTACAGAGAAGAACTACAGATGCTACTTTTATTCATTTAAACATGAATCCTTCTTTTTATATTTTGCTAAGTCACCAGTCTCCATACTCTAAAGCAATGAGTTCTACCTACTGAAAGTAGGTTAAATAAAACCTGATTTCCTGTGCTATATTTTGCATTACACATATATTTTCATTTAATGCAATTATTTCTTGTTCTGTTTTCACCATTCAAGATAAATAAGAATTCTGGACCAGCCTTCAGTGCACCACTATTTTACATCTACCCCAGCTCTTCCTTCTTTTCTCCAGTAACTGCATAATTTTTGCTTGCATAACTTCTCTTTGTGTGGAATTAACTCTCCCACATGCCTAACTATAATCATTGTCCTTGTCTGGAACATTGCTTTTATGTGGAATCTTTGAAAAACCACAGGGTTGTCAGGACTTTTCACCTCTTCAGAGATGAGGGAAAGAAAATCTAAAGGAATTATCTATAGAAAGAGTAAAAATTATATATTTTTCTTTAATTCATCTCTGTTCACCTGCAGTTAGACATACTCCTCCTTTTTGAAGAAACAGGATGAAGGCTGCCCAGTCTCCTGCCCTACTGAGAATCCAAAATTTTCCCAGGTTACTACCCCACACCTCTCAAAATCAAGCTGGGTTTTCAGGGGTCCAGAGGGAAAAAGGCTGCCATATAAAACAGAAAAAAAAGAAAAAAAAAAAAGAAGTCTAATTTTAAATTTTCCCCTCTCCTTCCCATTACAAAGGTGGAGACTTACTAGCTGATATGGTCACTGAAGGCCTCTTGCTAGTTTAGTGAGAGTACCATTCAGAGCAGGTCACCAATCAGTTCACCCCTCATAGTGATACATTAGGACACCTAAGGACATGGTGACTCCCGTGAGCGGCAAACAGCAAGACTTGATCCAGTGAGGGGGCAGAGATGGACAGCAGGGACCATCACACCCAAGACACAGAAATGCAGAGATGAACACATGGAATTAATTACCAGCTGTATGATGGTTAGGTAATGCTTCCACCACAGGTAACGGTGCATCTGTGGTCCCAGGCTGGTCAGGGCATAATAGCCATACATGAAGATGTGTACAAAGGAGTTTAGCATCCAAATAAAGAAGGCTGAAGGGTAAAGAAGTCAGAATGAACAAGAAATTAAAACCATTCAAGACTATGATGAGCTCACAGCTGCTGTGATAATGCTTTCAAAATATGTCATATCACCCCTATACATGAAGCTTCAATCCAGACTCCACCTAGGAAGCATATCATATTCTCCCTTCTTTCAGCATATATCCATCCTGTATCTAGTGTTCAGAGACTGAGAAAGAGCCTCAAAGGCAGAGGAGAGAATTCTTGATCTTCTGACCTAAGCATTTCATACCATTCTGATGTCAAGGCCATGGCATGGGGGTAGCCAACATGGCTTCCCCCAGAAAAATACTCCAGCATCTTGTGAATGGTCTACCTATAGTGGCCTAGTACTCAGATGCTTCTCTTTCTTTCTTTTTCTCAAAAAGGAGAAGTAGTCTGGATACAGACCAGAAAGGGAGTGATGACTAGGCTGGACACAGTCAGAGCAGGAAATGTAGAGCCAGAACCTGGGCTGCTGCACCAGGTCCAGCTGAATGGGGACTGAGGAAATGCTGGTCTGTGTGGAGACACACATAGACCTTGTATAGGATATTATTGTTTCTCTTTGGACAAGGAATGACTGACACATTCTCTTTCTGGGTGAGGCAGTGGATATAGCAGTCTAAATAGCCCAAAGAGTTGAGCAGATGGTATCAACTGAAACACACATGTTTTTCACACCTTTGGAAATAGGTGAACTTTCTACCTGCCAGTCAGCCCATCTGCACTGTTTATGCTATCTCCACAGCACAAGAAAAACTGAAACACGAGGTGTCCGCGGAAGCATACCTTGTCCTCCAGGCACATATTTCACCCCGACCATGAGCTGAACAGCATAGTGCCATGACGGTACATGTGCAGAAATGTCACCTGTTCTTGTTTCTTGCGCAGAATAAAGAAAACCTGGAAGAAACCAGACAAAGGAAAATCTTGAGATGATGTGTTTAGACAAAAGATTTTACACTAGAAGCGGTAAGAATACTTATTTATGACTCTGAATCTCCCAAACCCATTTTTCCCCAAGATCCAAAGAGGACACATCCGAGTCTGCCTGAGCTTCCATCTAATCTGTTTTTTTGCAGGACACAGGTTAGATGTTTACTGGTACCAGAGAGTGATCCACAGAAAAAGTACTGTGCTGAATGCCCAAACTCTTCTGGAATTTGCATTAGTAATGAGAATTATTTTGGCAGATGAATATGTGTCAGGTGACTGCATTTCAGCATGCACATGCACACACGCATGCACAGAAAGTGAATCTGCTTTTCAAAGACTCGGCAGAGTCAAAAAGCTGCTTTTGTTGCTGATAAAAACGGGGAGAAAATTGTTCAGTGCACTGGCAACAGGCCTAGGAGGGCTCCACGTGCTGATTCACTTTTCAGACAGTGTGTTGTCAACTTATCCTCCAAAGAGCACCAGACTGTAAAGTCTTAGGCGAGGATACAGCTTACTCAAGCTGACCAAGCAGAGAGATGGGATTCCCTTGTTAGTTCAGGCAGCTATTTATAATATAGGAGGAGACCTGGAGGCTGTACTACATAAAATAGTACTGTCTCCAGGTGAACTTTCAGTTTCACATGGGACACAAACCTTTAACCCACAACTTTGGGATAATCTGTGGCAGCAAAAATACCAAGACACATACTTGTACATTTGCAGTTTCTTTATTATCTGACTAACCGCTGTTAGTCAGCCAGACGGGCAATGGCAGATCCTGTCTGGCAGCCTTAATCAACTGGTAGTTAAGATTTTGGGGGACCATCTGGCAATAGCCACAGTTGAAGTTTCTCTCCCCTAGCACTGTGGTTAGGAGGGAATGCCCACTCGCAGGAGGGGTGCTGGGGGGTGAACGCGTGCAGCTGCAGGGACAGAGACCAGCAAATGGGACAGCAGAGATTCTCTTGTTCTGGAAAAGAGCTTCTGAGAAAGCCTATCAGTATGATATACCGTGATGGTGCTGTACTCTTGCAAGTCAAACTCTGTGAAAAACCAGCACGTTGAAGCTGAGCCCTCCTCTTTAACAGTGACAGCCTTATTCCCACAAACAGGCAGAGCAGAACGCATGAAAACAGCATTTACTGAAAAGCATCAACCAAATCAATACAGGATCAACCGAGGACATTAGCTTTTGGCACCCTGCCCCTTTCTGACAAGGGAGCGATTTATTTACAGCACCAGTCTTGCTCTGGAGCCCAGCCGAGCCCTCCTTACCGTATCAAGCAGCTCAATGACTTTGGAGAAGAACCACCAACACACTCTTGCCATCTGCTGGGCAGCACAAGGAAACGCTGTTAGATCTCAAAGCAAAATCACTGCTTAGCCTCACTCACTGCCTGAGATTTTCAACTATGTCCTGTATGAACCCTGCCCACTTGGGATCGACAGCAAAGGGGGAAACTAAGGGAGGTTTTTGTGGTTGTTGCATTTTTTGTTTGTTTTGTTGATATGGGTGGAGGAAAAGCATTCAGGGTTGCTTTGGCTAGTCAGATGATTGCTTTGCTAACTTGATTGTTCTTTGACCAGGCAAGGGTGAGCTGCTCAGAAACGGTTTCTAGCCTGATGGCAATAGCTATCTGAACAGCCGAAAAGATTAAATCCATGCTTGCATCTTTTCAAAGCTTGGCTATATCTGGAAGCAAAGCATAATGGCTCTGAATTCAAACAGAATAACTCAGGCAGCATTCTGGAAAGCTGAAGCTGGTGGGACCCAACTCCCTCTGTGATGACCAGAAAAGGAATAGTTTTAGCCAAATCCATCTACTAAAAGAAATGTTGAGTAAGAATTATGTCATGCAAAGCTGAGGATATAAAAATTGGGTTTCTTGTTGATAGTGATCATCCAGAATCCTTATATAATAATGGAAAGAGTCACATATTTCAGAGGTAATTTGAAATATCTATATTAGACATCTGCCTTCAGATGGTAGGATCACCCTCCCTCCAGTGAGGCAACTTAGATGGCTATGTTGACTGAGATGATTAATTTATAGAGAAATAAAGCAAAGTGCAACTGTTGAAGCAGACAATTTAGTGAAATAGATTTACAAGCAACAAACTGGAGTAAAAGCCTTCTTAGGCATGCAAATTGCTATTTATGAGCAAAACAATCTGCATATCCATGAGAGGAGCAGGGCCTAAGGCAAGCTTTGTGTAGAACTGTACCCTCATTCTTAGTTCACTTCTGCTGTCATCCACTGGCTGGCACAGGTAGCTGTAGTCATCCAAGATTGAAATTACTGGAAACTGAAACAAAAGAAAAGCAATAGAGATCTATTTTCTGTTTAATGTCCAGCATCTCTTCCAAAGAGACATGCATATTAATGCTGAGGTAATACGGTCTCAATGTAGTACTCACTGACAGAAAATCCATCTAATTTCTACAGTTGAGCAAATGGACTGTGTCAAGAGTTCTTTGATATTCCACTTCTGGATTTAACAGTCCATCATAAATCCTGAATCCCAATTTAGACTCTCTTCTGAAATTGAAGTCCTGAAACATTTACAGTCTGAGCACTATGCCCCATGTCCTTCTCCTGTCAAAGCTACCATGCAGGCCTGCTCTTCTACGTTCATGCCAATTTGTGGCTTTTCCTAACATCTAGGTATCCAACAGAGTCCTGTGGAACCAAACTAGACCTGCAGAACATCTAGCTATTGAAGACCTGAAGTCTCCTAACTGCAAAATATCAAATCTCAAACACTGAGCAGTGGTTTCTGTCAATATTTAATTTGATGACAGGTTTTAGTCGCATCACAAGGAATTTAAACCCCCAAATATTAACTCTTTCATATACTAAGCTTTCCCATGACACATGAACATGCATTTTCAAAAATTCAGTTTCTTTACCATTCCAGACCTAACAGGCAATCCTAAGCACATCTTGCTTATCATCCTGTCAGAGCCCATTGTACATTGAACAGAAAGTTGCTGAGAGTTTCCTACTATGGGCAAGGAAAATCCCCCATCCCTTCAGTCCTTACTGTGATCCAGCCAGAATGTCCCTGAGATATATTTCAAGACAAGTTTGTGATTATGGACAAGAAAAAGTGAAAATCTGCTTAGCAGAAAAAATGTGGGCTTTAATAAGGATCATGTTCCTTCGAAGTTTTTTCTTCATGATCATGCTAGTTATGTGGAAATTCCTATTCAAGACAGCATCTCCACCTACCTTCACTTTCAAGGACCCAGTTGTAGAATTCCTGAGTTTTCTGCCAAGTTGAAGCCATCACAACTTCTGGAAAGAAATTAAAATTAGCATCCCCAGGACCAGATTAACCCCATTTATCCTAGCCTTGACTGAGTCTTGAATAAGGAGGTTCCTTAGACAAAGGCTCAGGACTACAGCTAATGAAAAGAAAATGGTTTGCTCTCTGTAAAAATTGAAATTTTGTACCACGATTAGAGTCATGTTTAAAAAAGGAAAGAAGAGAACCCCCTGTAATGATTAGCTATTTAACTTCTATTTCCAGATTTTGATATTTTGTTGAAGTTTCACCTCTAGAAATCCTCTGAGTAACTACATGTAAAATACGAGAGCCAGGATCTCTGTGTACCATGTTGGGAAATCAATCACCTGATTTTTTTCTGAAGTGGTGTAAGCACAACATTCACACAAAGACACACATACCAGGTGGCATAACTGCATCCTTCTGCAGGCATTCTTGGATATTCACTATGCTAGCAGTCAGTCTGGGATTAATTCAGTACTGCTGCAACCCCAGAGATGTTAACTGAGCTATTTTGGTTATTTGGCTTTCTGAAGCCCACTTTATACATTAAGTTTGTCTTGCTTCATCTTGTACGTATTCCATAATATAGTATCTTAATGTAGAATACTCATATACAATATGATGCTCCTCCTGTTCCCTTTTTGCCTTTAGCAGGGAGACCTTTTCAATGACATTTGGAAGTTCACCTGGAAAACACTTCACTGCAGTTACTTTCAACAGCTTGTGTTACCTGCCCTAGTTCTCTCCATGAGCAAATACACAGCTTCCTCACAGTTCTATCTCCTCCTGATTCTGAAAAAAGCACATTTTCTCCTTTGCCTTCTCATAGGCTGCTAAGTATAAAAGTACCCACACCTCCTTTGGACCTGTCCCCTGCTCTCCTGTGCTGCTGGGTCCTTGCAGCACAGTAGCTTGTGCATTACACAGTAGGGAAAATTGTAGCCTAATATAAGGCCTCTTATATTAGTATAAATGTGTTTTAAGGAACTTTACGAATCCAAACAGTTTCTTAATACCCAGACCACATAGTTCTGCTGGAATTACAAATGCATAGAGTGTGCCTGGCACTGTTTACCAACTTTTGACTTTGCACACCTGGATAAAACCTGTTAAAATTAACAAGGCTTTGCTGTATCCCAGTTGTACACAGATTTACTCTGGTGAAACCTAACGAGCAACAAACTTGCTATACCTACACCTCCCTGTCTGCAGACCTCACAGCCTGACAAGCAACTGCACACACAACACGGTGCTGGTGATGGAAGCATACCTGCACACATTTCTCTCCTGCAGCTGATCGTTGCAGTCAAACCCCTTTTTGGTGTGTTTCTCTGACACACACCCCGAGAACCTCAGCACAAGCACATCTCATAGGCATCCTGACACAGAGACACACACCCTTGTAATCCAGGCAGAATCTGCCAGCAGAGAGATTAGCCAGCAAGAGATTAGCCAGCGATTATCAGCTGGCTCATAGTCAATCCAGCAGATCTCAAACAGTTACATGTCCTCAAACAATACATACACATTCCAGCTCACTCCACTTCCTTTGCTTCCCTCAAACCCTCAGCCTGAAATGAATGGGAAAACACAGGAAGCAGGAGCAGACTTACCCCGGCAATGCACTGGCTTCGCACCTCCCTTTCTTCACGGGTGTCCTTTGTATACAGTCGCTGCTCCTCACGCTCTGGGTGCACACAGCAGGCGGCAAAACAAGAAGCTCCAAGAGCATTAAGCAGATGCCCTGCTCACCTTTCTTCTTTGCAAGTGAAGTGAGTACATCACCTGCCGGGTTTCACACAGATGTGGTGGATCTTCATGGCTCTTAAGTGCAGTTCAGGGTCTCCCAGCGGCACCCACCATAAAATCACTGTGAGCTGCAGGCACCATAGTGTTGTCTTGTACCTTTGCTGGAGCAGATGTTACATCACATACTCCTCCCCCTCCCTTTCTTGCCTCTCCCCATATGATTTATCAGATTAGGGGACTGGAAAGAGAAAGAAATGAATGTGGAAGAGGACTAGGGATTTCACAGGAGTAAACCACTGACCTTTAGTGTCACGCTTGGGAACCTGGCCAAGTGGGAACCAAGCCAGCATTTCTTCTGCAGGTTTCTTCAGGACATGTCATGACAGCTTGTCAAATAGTAAAACATAAGGAATCATGCCTGGACAATACCCTGAAAAACAGTCTGTTTGGAGCACTCCTTCAGCCCATCACAAGGGACTGTCAACAAGCCTTTTGTGTGCTCAGAGTAAGTCTAAACCACAAAATGAGGGAGCAGAGAACAATAGGAACACCCGCCAACCCATTCACTCAGGGAAGGCAGAGCAAACTCAGCTGGACTCACCCCCTCATATCCAGCCTCTGTCCCTGGGGGAGTGACATTGACTTTTTTTAAAGATATATGAAAAAATGTTGAGGAGTTTGACAGTGATACCAAGTTTCCCCCTCTGTGATCTCCAGCAACCATATCAAGGGAAAACACAGAGAGCCTGAGTAGGCAGTGGCTCAAGTGAGTAATTGCAGTCCATGTGATTCAGCCCCATGTGGAGGTACCAATGCAGAACCAGCACCCTGGCCCCTTCCCACAAGAATCACAGAATGTTAGGGATTGGAAGGGACCTCGCAAAGCCAAGTGGTGGGGTTCTGCTTAGTCACCTGAGGTGTCCGTGCACCTAGGGTGCACATATGCCCTCTTATTTTCCCTGTTGGCACAGTTTATTAGCAGAACTCTGAAACAAAGAGAGCAACATACCTTATACCACTGCATGGTGTCTGTGCCAGACATTTCACAAGCACTTCTGGAGGGCAAAACACCTTTTGAAAGCAGGATAATTAGACATACCATGTAGTGGTAGTTTTGCATTGAAACACATCAGTTGTTAATGCTGCTGGACAACTACTGTGTTTCCATGACTTGTAGAAATTATGGAAGATATTAAACAGATGCTTTTGGAGAAGGTAATTTAGGGTGTAGGCTTTGTGTTTTGGGAGCAGGGGAGTCAGAAGGGCAACCCAGTTTAGGAGAAGGTTTAACTGGCCTTTGGTATCATATTGTTTTGGTTTTTTTCCAGTTGATCCAGGTTATTGTTGATTAGGGTTCAAGGAGACAGTGAATTTTACATACCATTTTTTGCAGAGCTTCCTTTAAAGGTCCTTTCTCAAAGTTTTTAATTGCTCCTTAGCCAACAGGTTTCATTCCTAAAGCTTTGATGCCCAAGTGCTTAAAAATGTTCAGTGATTTATCTCTGTGAATCAATAAATCAGACCAGCCCCTTTCTATCTGTCTGTTATGTGTAGATGGGACTATATTTTGTTACTCCTATCTAGTAACTTTAAGTAATCTTTGTCGAGCTATTTGTTTTGATGTATAAGACTCAGAATTACAGACACAAACTTTTCCATGAAACTTTTTTACCCGGGTGAAAAAAATTCAGCTGAAGTGAATTTTCACAAACACATTTCATTTGGGGCAAAGAAGTTTATTGTTCATGTAAAATGAGATTTAAAAGAAATACCATGAAGCATATTTTATTTTTTAAAACCTGCCCTGTTCCTGAAGTATTCTCAGTGGTACTGCTGATGTTCACTAGCACAACTGGCAGAGGTGACATCAGTAACATGGTACTTTTACATTCCAAGAATGGGTGTCCTTTGATGGATATAGCTCCATGGGGAACACATACAAAAGCTGTTGGAGCATTCAGTTTCAGCAAAAACTCAATAGAAATAAAAAAACATAGCTCCTTCACTGAAATAATATTAGAGGAGCTCTGAATACCAAAGTGAATTGTGTTTTTCATTCAATAACTTGTCAAAAAAAAAAAGGGGTATTGCAGGAACATGTATTACAGTCATAGTAATAAGCAACTCAGTTGTGTACTGCATGTGACAGCTCAGAGAAGTCAATCAAAGATTTAAAAGATTGCATATTCTAACTATTTTAAAACCTGGCATATAAAATGAGTGTTTGCCACAAAATCATTACCAATAACGAATACAATTCTGGGAGCTTCCAGACAACACAGGTTTTGTTATTTGGTCCTCTGATTGCTGTTCCTTCCAAGCAAAGCTGTACTACAAGCACAAATTAACAAAACAGATCTGTTTCAATACTTAGGAAAAACAAGGAGCAGTGGGCCAGCTTCATCTGGATATCCAGGCTACGTCACGGTGATGCTCTCCACACCACAGCAGAGGGTTATCGGATCCGACAGGCCTGTGTGTTTTGCTTTTCCTACCCCTACACTTCATATGAAGGAGATAGACTGTGGTATACATGTAAAGTCCAAAACGTAATGGGTTCTAATTTCACCTCTTGTAGCAATGTTCTTTATGCCTATGAAAAATTTAACTAACTCTCTTTTAGATCAAAATCACTTACCACTTAAGAAATTTATTTTAATATAGATAAAATTGCTCGAAAAATGAGAACTGCTTCTTGCTATTAATCAAGCTCTTACATCAAATTTAAGACATCTTTTAGTTTTCCAATCTTTAAATCATTAGTATGTTATTATTTCAGTTATCCACTGAATCCAGGCCAAGTCCTATAGGGCAGGAAAGTCTCAGATCCAATATCTCATTTATGTTAATTTACACAGTGTTACAAAGGTATAAGCCCGTTCATATCACACCAATAAGCAACAGCAAATCTGCCTGGAAAAAATTGACTAAGTTTACCAATCAAGCCAAGTGACTTTCTTTTATCACCTTCTAAACTGCAGGGCTGCATGGGGTGATAGTGAAAACACACAAGATCTCTTCTACAGATGAACACACCTTCAAGTGATATCACCAGCCTGCTGAAATCAACAGAACACCAAATAAAAATTTTTATTTCAAGCTGAGTCAAAGTCTAACCAGTTAAGGCACCACAACCTTACCTACCAGCACACATTTGAAGATCTAAGGTGACTAGATACCTTCTAAAACTTGCCTGGCCCTTGGAAAACTTGAATGTCATCAAATTCACATCATATACAATTTAACTG